AATTCAACTTCTAAAAGGAAACATGAGCGAGTTTTTCTTGCCTCTGGTGCCGTATCACAAGCAGGCAGAGCAGCGACCCACGTGACGACATTCTTCATTATTAGCAGCACAACATCTGGAGGAAATGGAATTCCTGCTTTTAGGAACCGCAAGTAAAAACAGAAAACCAGTCGCAATAATACCGGTCAGGTTAAAAATACTCACAGCCTGTCTGTGTCTGATGTTATTCTGTGAAGAATCCGGTCCAGGGGTTCGTAAGGAAACACAAGATAATAATAAAATATGTATGTGTAACAGTCAAACAAATGTTAGCATGATTTAATGTTATTAAGCTGCGCAGYCTGCACACAGGTCTGAGGGTTATTTCCACTGACAGTACATCTGCACCACACTGAAACAGCCACCCAGAAAAAAAAGCTGATCACACCGCGCAAAGAACTTAATAACCTGTCCGCCTCACTTAAGTTGTGATTTCATATAAATGCTTTGTGAATTTTCAATTACGGCATCAAAGCTGAGATCGGCCCTCAGAGGGACAGGTTTGTTATTACAGAGTCCGACGGACGGTCAGAGCAGCAGTTTTGTTAGAGAGTTCATTAACACCAGGGCTGTCATAATAAATCCTTCCACACTAAAGGCTGTGGATCGTACAGCAGCAGGTTTAATGTTTTTGTAATACCTCGTATCACCATAGGGGGCGCTGTGTTGTCAAAACCTCAAAAAAAAAAACATAAAAAAAAAACAGGTTTCTACATTTTTTTCTTTCAAATTTGAAATGAAACCTGCGTAAAACAGCCAGTGCCACGACTAAAGGTGGTGCCCTTTTCGCCTCACATTATGAAAGGATTTTTATGCTCAGCCGCCGTCCAATTTTATCCCCAGGAGTTGCTAAGCGACAGGAGTATCCTTGTAGGATGTGCAGCCTGAAAAAAGGTGATACCATGAATGAATCCTGCAGCTTTGTAACATATTATTATCCCCGTCCAACCTGTTGTAGTGTGGGTCAGTGAAAGAGAAGAATGCTATTTAAAAAGGGCCATTATTAGTTCATTTGGCCGAATCGTTTCACTACGTGTCCTGCCTGGAAACACAGACAGATTCAGGTTGAATGTCTCGGCTCTGTTACTGTGAAAGGCAGAATGAATCAAAAGATTTTACTATTTATTACTAATAATACGTCTCAGTACAGAGTATCACTATTTAAACACACTTATACACACACATATATACTG